GACCCAGGGATAGATTACTTCATCTGCTTCCCTCCTTCTTTATTTCTAGTCATCTTTCCCCCATTGACTCTCCTGGATGTGGTCTCTTCATTTTCTCTGCATATACTCTTCATCTCCCTCCATTTGCCTCTCTTTGCCAATCATCTCATGAGTCAATTCCACTTATTCATTGAAGCCATGCTTTTTGCCTTCATTAACTCTTACCTGTTACAGAACTGCCTTTTCATTGAGCACAGAAAATGAAAGCAATTTGCATTTTCAATTTTTTTCAGACTCAGAGTGTAGACCTGAGAGCAAAGATTCAACTTCAGTGCAAGATTTTTCCAAAGAAGCATCATGTCAGGTTGCAATAATAGACAGACTGACAGAAAATAGTGTCTATGATACCAGCTTGAAAACAACTCTTGAATGTGAAAATTTGTTAGAGAAGCAGCAAGGAAATCAGGGAAGACACTTAAGAGAAATGTTCACCTACATTAATTCACTCCCTGAAGAAAGAGCTCATGATCATGATGTATATTGGAAAAGCTTTAGTCCGAAGTCTGTCCTTCTCACTCAAGACAGAGTTCCAAAAGGATCCTATGCCTTTCATACACTTGAAAAGAGATTGAAACAGAAATCAAGTTTAAGGAAAAAGCAGAGAACCTATAAAGAGAAAAAACCTCATAAATGTAATGATTGTGGTGAACTATTCACTTACCATTCAGTGCTTATTCGACACCAGAGAGTCCATACTGGAGAGAAACCCTATAGCTGCGATGAATGTGCGAAATCTTTTAGCCACAGAGCTAATTTAACTAAACATCAGAGAACTCATACTAGAATTCTCTTTGAGTGCAGTGAATGCAAGAAAGCCTTTACAGAAAGCTCGTCCCTTGCAATACATCAGAGAATTCACATTGGAGAGAGACCTTATGAATGTAGTGAATGTGGGAAAGGATTTAATCGAAGTACACATCTTGTACAGCATCAGTTGATCCATACTGGGGTGAAGCCTTACGAATGTAATGAATGTGATAAAGCTTTCATTCATTCCTCAGCACTCATCAAACATCAAAGAACTCATACTGGAGAGAAACCCTATAAATGTCAGGAATGTGGGAAAGCTTTTAGCCATTGCTCATCCCTCACTAAACATCAGAGAGTTCATACTGGAGAAAAGCCATATGAATGTAGTGAATGTGGGAAAACCTTTAGTCAGAGCACACATCTTGTTCAACATCAAAGAATTCACACTGGAGAGAAACCCTATGAGTGTAACGAATGTGGGAAAACCTTCAGCCGGAGTTCAAATTTTGCTAAACATCAAAGAATTCATATTGGAAAGAAACCATACAAATGTAATGAATGTGGTAAAGCCTTTATTCATTCATCAGCTCTTATTCAACACCAGAGAACTCATACTGGAGAGAAACCCTATAGATGTAATGAATGTGGGAAAAGCTTTAAGTGCAGTTCATCCCTCATCAGACATCAAAGAATCCATACACAAGAGCAACCCTGAAAAATTATTAAATGTGAAGAAATGTAAGTTGTTTTTATCACTGTGTTCAAGAGTGTTTAGGGGGAAGAGCCTTAAAATGCTGCTTACAGACCAATTTGTATACATCTGATTTTACTTGCATAGTACATACATATTTTTGAGCCATAAACAAAATGTTCCTTATATCCATTGATTTAATAATTATGAAAGCTACTAGCCAGAGACTTCATATTTTGAGCCCTAATCCTTCCCTAATACCTTTTTTATGGATATTCAAGAAATCCTTAGGAATGGGTAGCAATATAATCATTGTAGAATCCATTTTCTCCCTCTTTGTAAGCAAGTTCTTATTTGTTAGTTTAGGCAGAGAGTTCATATCCTTATCAGGAAGATACAGAGTTGTTCCTCTTTGAATCCAAAAATAGAGATCCAGATTTATCGATAGTGTCATTTTTCCAGTGTCATTTCCTGTATATTAGCTATAAAAAGCTAAAGGTTAAGAGTTGAAATATGCTTTGTATTCCTTCCCTACCCCAAAGTCTACTCTCAAATTTGATGAACATAAAAAGAATTTATTTACAGCAGGTTCTAAGTTAGATTCACATGAATTCTGCTTGTAGACTTACTGGTAGATAATTGTGGTCATTCTGCTGTGTAGAACTTCATTTTCTACTTCCTTGGAAGTTGGCTTGAAGTAGAATGGGTCAAAATCTTAACTCTAGTTTTTGATCAAATCCTTATCTTTGGCATTCACTGAATGAATCACTGGTTTTCTATAATTACAGTATTAGGGATATTTTGTTCTTTACATTCTGCTTTCTGTAAACTATGCTTTGTCACTTTGAGAAAAAGCCACAAGGATGTTGAGGATCTGAAAAGTTGATGGGTTCAATGTGTTATGTTTAGGATCCCAGTCAAGAAACATAACTGAAGCACCTGTGAGACGCAAGGACATATCTTTCTGTCAAATATGGAAAATCGCTCACAGGACAATGACTCACTTGAGGATAAACAGCTTTCCTCTATGAAGAAGTTGGCCATTTCTCTGACCTTCATGTTTACCCACATGGTTTGTTCCTATTCTCTCTACATGATGTATCCCAGAATCCTAAAGAAAATTGAAATGGCATAAAATCACATGATATATTGACATACTTACATGGGTGACCAAAGACCACTAATGGGATAAGGAACACAAAAGTGCTCAAATATCTAGCAAAACACTATACAAATGTCAGGTTTTTTTGTTACTCTGTTACATATTGTGTGAAAAGATTTTAAAGTAGAGGAAAAAGTAGTTACAGATTTCTTCTTCCCTTCTAAATTCTTTTATGAACATTCAGCACCACCAGTCCATGTTTTTGCCCCCTCCAAACTATCCCTGCGACATGTAATTGCCCCTCTGTAGACTTCTATTATTGAAGATGAATAGGAGAATAAAATTTTAAAAAGTGGTGGTAATAGAGAGCAAGATTACTAAGGATGGATTGAGCATAAATCCAGCAATGATGGATATCAAACAATATGAAAGAAATGGGACTGAAAAATTCTTGTAAAGAATTTTAAAAAACACATTGAAAGGGGTTGAGAAGATTGGGAAGGCTCAAGGTCTCAGAGGTCAGGGTAGGAGAATGGCTGATGAGCAAAATAAAGGAAAGGGAGCTCAACCCTTTTCATCACTTTAATATTCTATATTGATCTAAAGCAGGAATTGACAAACTGGCCTGCACCCACAGACCAAGTTCATCTGCTATTTCTGTGAATGTTTAATTGGAATACAGCCACACACATTCATTTACATGTTTTGTTTGGCTATTTTATACTATAATGGCAGAGTTGAGTAGTTGCAGCAGAGAGCATATAGCCTGAAAAATCCTAAAATACTTGCTATTTCTCAATATGCCAAATGCTTGAGTGAAAAGTGAATGCATCATTTGGGGGCCAAAATTCGACTAACAAAATAACATCAACATGGGCTTTTCAAAGCTGGGTTTTAATTCTGCCATCTCTGTTTAGAATTATGTGGCCTTGAAAAGGACCTGGAACAATAAATTATATAGAGTCTTCTCTCTCCCTCTACCACACCTTCTCTCGATATGTGTACACACACAAACACACATTTTAATGAAGTGACGTCTTAGTTCATTTGGGCTGCTATACAACATTCAATTATCACAGTTCTGGAAACTAGGAAGTCCAAGCTCAAGGCCCTGGCAGATTCGGTGTCTGGTGTGAAAGGGCATTTTTTGAGGGGACACAGACATTCAGTCTATAGCAAGTAGCTAAGCATCCATCAGAAATTAAGAATGAGCATCTCCCACCCCTTCCATTTGCTAATTAAGAACTATATGCATCCTGCCATCAGCTCATGATAGAGAAGGGGCTTCACTTTCTACTCTTGCTTCTATCTGGTACTGGACCTACACACTCCCTTTTAGACCTGGAGGAATCTGCTTTTTTGCCTTCTGAGTACCACTTAGCCAGGAGCTATCTGGCAGTTCTAAAGACTCAAGTTTGTAATCTAAAGGCAGTTTAAGTGCTGTTAAAGGATTTGCTATGTTTTACTGAGAACTCTGGCCCTTTGCATTTCAGTATTTGTTCTTTTTATACCTGGTGTTCAATCTGACTGTGTGTTTATACCTTAACATGAATCTTGGAAGTTTTAGCAGTCTGCTTTTCAAATATTTTTTGTTACCTATAAGCTAAATTTGACTGCTCTTATTGGCCCACTCTCAATAAAGATGTTTATATATTTATTGTCAGAAACTTTTGTAAATTGCTTTTAAATTCTCCTAATTTAATCTTACTTTAAGAGATAAAGGCCAACCATAAAATATACCCATATTATTTAGGAAACCAATTACATTTCTAATTGTTCATCTGGGCTTCACAACTTCTGCAGACATAGATCCAGGAATACCCACCACAGCCCACGTATTTGCTGGAAGGTTAAAGAGTAGAGGAAGGCTGAAACCGGTTTGACTCAGTGGATAGAGCGTTGGCCTGCTTACGGAAAGGTCCCAGGTTCGATTCCGGTCAAGGGCATGTACCTGGGTTGTGGGCACATCCCCAGTAGGAGATGTGCAGAAGGCAGCTGATCGATGTTTCTCTCTCATCGATGTTTCTAACTCTCTATCCCTCTACCTTCCTCTCTGTAAAAAATCAATAAAATATATTTTTTTAAAAAAAAGAGTAGAGGAAGGATGTTTTTGTCAGAGTCCTCGGGCCAAGTACAGGCACCACACAGCAGGGGTAATAGGAAAAGAGAGAGAAAAATTAATTTCATATAAAAAATACAGTTAAAACTAGGCAAGATAGGGTAAAAAACTGATTTAGTGTAAATTTTAAATTACATCTGGCTTTTAAGAAGATAGTGTAATGTCACCCAAACGAATAAAAATGGTAGTATAAGAATACCAAACATTCAAATTGTTGGCAATTAACTAATTCAATTATCTATTAAAATTGTTTTATTTTCTCAGATGAGTTTTCACTTTTTAAAGAAATATTACAATAGGACCTGGGTTGGAAGTTCTTTGTCCCTGCTGTCTCCCTTTCCTTACCTAATTCTTTTTTAGGCCCCAACTGGGCAGTCTTGGGATCCAGAGCCAAATGAGCTACCCCTCACCCTTTGCCTTATATTAATTGTCAAGGCAAAGGGTGTTCTGTGATATATAATGTGACATCTATGTAGTTCCAATTAATGTCCTCAAAAAATTAAATTTTTTTCATTGAATTGTTCTTTACATTTTCCAAAGTGTGTAATCACTTATTTTTTAACCTTTCACTTAGAAGGGGTTAATAGCAGGTTCATCCATAAACCAGACAATCTGCCCTTAGATTGAGTTGACTGTACATAAAATGTTCATACCTCACCCCCAGCAGTTCATCCATAGTACATTATCATCATGTCAGAAAAGGAACCAGGCTTCCTCAGAGAAATGGCTGATCCTAAGTCTGAGTGAAGACAGTTGCAATAACAGCCTGAAACATCATGTTCCAGAAAATAAGGTGGTACTAAAAGAATGATGACAGTAGGTCACAGAGGCAAAGGAGCTAATTTGACCTAGCCTTCACTAACCAAGTCTGGGATAATTTGAGCACCAAAACAGTTAAGGTAGTAATGAATTATTAAACCAGTGTGTGTGTGTGGGGGGGGGGGGGAGCAGTGCATGAGTTTACATTGATAATTAGAAGTAAATAAGGGAGAATAGAGGGCCCTTGCTTACAACAGAATGCCAGATGCAAACTGATAAAAATGATGCTGAAAAATCACTATTTTGCAGCCATCACAATAAGATTCTGACAAAAATCAATCAATATAAATCTAAGGGGAAATTTTGATGAGGAACAGGATATTTGCATAGTATTGAGGTATCTTCGCCATAGATTGCTTGTTACAATTGGCGATTGCAAGGAAAAAATACGTAGTAATAATTTTTAAATTATTATATAATAGCCCTGGCTACTGTGTCTCAGTTGGTTGGAGTGTTGTTCTGTACACCATAAAGTGGTGGGTTTAATTCCCGATCAGGGCATATACTGGGGTTGCAGGTACAATACCCGGTCTGGTCACATATGGGAGGCAATCAATCTCTCTCTCTTGTCTTTCTCTCTCTCTTCCTCTCTCAAATCAATAAAAATATATCCTCAGATGAAGATTAAAAATAATTAAATGCATAATAATATAAAGGAAACACCTTGATTTGCATGATCAAATTAATATGAACAAAAGGTAGATAGCCATTATGCGCCTCAGATTTGATCCTATGAGGACACAACATGAGTTATGTGATATTAGGGAATGCATAACTGGAATTTGATCATGAGAAAACATTCAACAAACCTCAAAATGAGGATTATTAAAAACAAAAGGACTGTATTCAAAAATGTTAATGTCATAAAAGACAAAGACTGAATACCTATTCCACATTAAAAGAGACATGAGAACTAAGAGGGAGAATACTATAAAGGTCACTATTGGTTCAGTTTTTCAAAACTTCAGTATAAGCAGTAGAGTGGGTAAATATTGCATTAATGTTAAATTTACTAAACTTCATAACTATGCCATGGTTATGTAAAATATTGAGAAATGCACACTGAAGTATTTAGGGGTAAAAAAAGTATAATGTGTGCAATTTTCTCTCAAATTATTGAGAAAAAAATATGTGCATAGAGAGAAGAAATGCTAAAACAATAAAATGTTAACAGTAAATCTTGCTAAAGGGAACATGGATATCTACTTCTAATACATCTTTTCTGTATGTTTCAGGTTATTTTCAAATAACAAAAAAAAGTAAATAAACATACATTAAGATCCAAAATTAGGCCTCTTCGATAACATAATAAGAGATAAAAAGTATGCACAATACGAATATTTTAAGTGACTCTTTTTTTCTTAAAACTTATCTAAGTATCCAAAGATTACCCATTAAGAAACTTTGTTTTCGTCCTAGCTGAGTGTTCAGTTGGTTGGAGAGTTGTCCAGATACACTGAGGTTACAGATTTGATCCCCATCAGGGCTCTTACTAGAGTCAACCAATGAAGGCACAGATAAGTGAATCAATCAAATCAAGCTCTCTCCCCCTAAAATAAACAACATTTTTAGTGAGAGAAGATATTTTCACATTTAACTGCATATTAATAATTCTATTAATTGTATGGTATAATATATTAATCACATCTTATATTAAAATTATTTGTATAAGCCAAGAGAGAAGCTCCGGTCCAAAGACCCAAAAACTATACTAAAGGCATTATCGGTGTCTTCCGTCAAGAATTTGAA